GTGAGTGGGTGGGGGTGGAAGCCACATCTTACCTGACACTCGTCTTTCAGTGTTCAGCCGGCATCCAGCAATTACATAGTTGTGGCCTGAATGAGTAGAGTATAATAAGTTAATGCGTGACAGCTAGTAAGTTCTTTGAGGGGAGGGTGAGTTGTGTTACTGTTTTCAGTTAAACACAGTGAACTTTATAGGGAAACCAAGGTCTTCTGGTGCTTAATCTTTTTAAATTTTGAAATTAAAATATAATTACGTCATCTTCCCCTTTCCTTTTCCTCCCCAATCCTTCCGGTGTATTACTCCCCCATCCCCCACCCCCACACTCCCTCTCAAAGCCAAAACCTCTGGTGTCTTTGTTTGTTTGTATATGTGCTGTTTTGCAAAAGAAAGCTGAAGTATTTCTCTTTGAATGCACTGAAATGATTTAAGCTTTCAGAGGTGTTGCTTCAGGCCTTCGCCTGAAAATAATTGATTTTTAAAGCATTAAAACTATTTAGGAAATGGCTTCTCAGCGGCTGCAGTGTCTGTAGTCTAGCTCACATATTTGGAGCCCACTTCCTACTGCTCTTTGTCCCTTCCAGCAACTTATTCCGTACGTGGATGAAGATGGCTCTAAGAACGACGACCGGGCTGGCCCACCTCGTTTTGCTACTGAGGAGAGACGAGAAATTGCAGAAGTAAATAAAGTGAGTGATTGGTTTATGTTTATATTTCAGAGCCTAGTGTAACTCTTAAACATAGTATGGGTTTTGCAATTGCCCGGTGTTGTTTTTGTGGCAAGAAGCAAAGGGGAAGCAGAGCTGCCGGGGAGGGTTGGGAAAGATCATGGGTTTCCCTCAGTAAAGCCTCAGAGCCCAACGGTCATAGCCCGTTCACTTCCCCAAGCTGAACCCCGGCCTCTCTACAAATGATGAAGACTTCCCAGCGGGAGATGTGCCTACCACAGCCTGTGACTGAGAAATTCCGGAGCTGTGGAAGCATTCTCCTGCCTCCACTCCAAAAAGTTCTCACAGACAAACATTTGCTAACCTTCAGATAGTTGTAATGGAACAGTAGACAGAACTGGGGACTCATTCCCAAAAGCTAACCTCAAAAGTACCAGCCTCATCCTTTCACTCACAAACCCAGATCACCCTGACAGTCTTCATTCTTCTTGACAGACGACACCAATGTGTTAGCATCTACTCTAGCTAAACAGCCTTCTGAGCTGTACAGAGGTAATTTAGTTCATATACATAATGTAGACTGTCTGTTACCTTGGAAAGCGTTGTTCTCCAGTGGCTAAAAGGCATTCGATATACTCCAGTCTACTTGTGCTGGCTCAGTGCTTGAGTCAAGAACAGTTCTCTTTTTATCTTTTTTATTTGTCATAAATAGCCAAAGTTTTTATGTAAGTACAGTATAGAAATATTCCTGTTTAAAATGCCATATAATAAAATCCTCCAGTGTGCTAGATATAATTGTAGAGGTTATAGCCAGTTCAAAACGACAGTACACAAGAGCTCAAACATAGTTATTATTTACAAGCTTGTTACCATGTTCAGAAAAGCTCACCTGATAAACCAGTATAGTGTATAAAAAGTTCTATTAAAAAAAAAAGGGATTAATGGCATGCAGACTGAAACCATCCTCTTACAATGCTGTTAGTTGCTGCAGTCTCTTCCCAGTTGAAACAAGATGTACTAAGTGGATAGGAATTGCAACAGTGACTGGCCTGTTAAGATAGATAAAGTAATGGAGTTCTTAATTGGTCTAAATAATAAAAACTGGGAGCCAAATATAGAGGAAAATGCTGAGAGATCAGAGAGGAGCAAGCCACAGCCACACCTTAACTCCTTAGAGTCTCAGCAGACAAGAGAGCAAGTTTCTGTTTCTCCCAGCTTATATCCTGTTTCTGCCCAGTTATCTTACTTCCGGTCTGTCTGTACAGACCTCTATGGTTAGCTAGTGGCAAGCTCCAGTCTCTGACCTTCGGACAGGCTTTATTTGTACAAGCAAGTAAGAAGAGTAAATATAAAAGTGCCAGTCTTAATTACTTCATAATTTCGTGCAGAATAATCCAAATCTAAATGAGATTTAACATGAAAGCATGCAAAAAAAATAAAGAAAGAAAGAAGAAAGGAAAAAAATAGGAGGCTTTAGTACAATATTAGGCAAAAAAAATGAAGTCGTCTTCTGAAAATGTACAAAAATATATTTTAAAAATCTAATAAATAAGGTTAATAATGCAGAATTGTTTGCTTCAAACCTTAAAATTAAGATGAGACATATAAAGGCATAAGTAAGCATGTACTGTTGGCCCAGGAAGAGACAGATGGGTAAAACGATGGCCAGAAAAACTGCTTTTCTGATGACTATGAGAATTTAATATGACAGGAAAGGGATTATGTGAAAAATTAATCTTTAGAAATAGAAAGTTGGTGGGGGAATTAACTAACTATTGTATATTAAAATGAATTTCAGGGTTAAGTATGTCCAAAAACCCAAACTGTTAGAAAAAAATAATAGGTGAAAGTGTGCTTTAAAACCAAAGAGAAAGAAAAAAAGGACTTAGATTTAAATACTGTAACTTAAGAATGTAGTCTTTGAGAATTTCATACAGTATATTGTTATCATTTTTTCTTTTCCCCCCAATTTTTCCAGACCTTCCTGAAAACCCACTCAAGTTCTTTCTTTCTTTCTTTCTTTCTTTCTTTCTTTCTTTCTTTCTTTTTCTTTCTTTCTTTCTTTCTTTCTTTCTTTCTTTCTTTCTTTCTTTCTTT